CATCACCATATACAATTGAGTAAGCACATGATAATATTCATATGGAGTATCGTCATCGCAAAAACTAGTAATGTAGGCATATCGACTATATCTAATACAAAATATACATTTTTTTGTCTCTTTTCTCCCTTCTCTCATCGTAAAATATACAAGTTTGTGGGTATGAAGTGCGGGAAAGCAGTTGGATAAGGATTGAAAACACTTTTAGACGCTTTTTACACCCACTGTGTGATGACATTATAAGTCCTTGAGTTTATTGTATGCGTACGCTAAGATACGTATTTGTTATCTATCTCCCTTTCATTAATCTAAATTTTTTTATTTTCAACAAATCGAGCCACCTAACAAATTGTGTGACACTTGAATTTTTCTCCAAAAGATTGCTTCGCACAACGCTAACCGATAAAACTAAAGAAAATCTTTTTACGAAATTGTCATACTTGTTAATGTTGCGTTCATTTTTAATGCTTCTGCAACTGCCTTGACCCCTTCATCCGACGTACTATTAGCTTGCATATTGAAGTTTGCTAATGTTCTATTTATTTTTAATGCTTCAGCCATTGCTTTGGCCCCTTCATCGGATATTTCGTTACTTCCAATATGAAGACTTGTTAATGTTGAGTTAATTCTCAATCCTTCTGCTACTGCTATGGCTCCATCAACCGATATCCTGTTCGCTTCAATATTAATACTTGCTAATGTGCTATTTATTTTCAATGCTTCCGCAATTGCTTTGGCTCCTTCATCCGATAGATTGTTATATCCAATTTCAAGACTTGTTAATGTTGAGTTTATTTTCAATGCTTCTGCAATTGCTTTGGCCCCTTCATGCGATATTAGGTTAGTTCCAATATGAATACTTGTTAATGCAGAATTTATTGTCAATGCTTCTGCCATTGCTTTGGCCCCTTCATCCGATATTTGGTTATATGAAATATCAAGACTTGTTAATGTGCGATTTATTTTCAATGCTTCTGCAAGTACTTTCGCCCCTTCATCCGACATATCGTTACCTCGAACACTAAGACTTGCTAATGTGCTATTTATTTCCAATGCTTCCGCAACTGCTTTTGTTCCTTCAGCCGATAACTTGTTATATTCAATATCAAGAGTTGTTAATGTTGAATTTATTTTCAATGCTTCTGCAATTGCTTTGACCCCACTGTGCGATATATCGTAACCTCGAAAACTAAGACTTGTTAATGTTGAATTTATTGTCAATGCTTCTGCCATTGCTTTGGCTCCTTCATCCGATATTTCGTTATATGTAATATGAAGACTTGTTAATGTCGAATTTATTTTCAGTGTTTTTGCAAGTGCTTTCGCGCCTTCAACACATATATTGTTATATCTAATATCAAGACTTGTTAATGTTGAATTTATTTTCAATGCTTCTGCCATTGCTTTGGCCCCTTCATCCGATATTTGGTTATATGAAATATCAAGACTTGTTAATGTTGAGTTTATTTTCAATGCTTCAGCCATTGCTTTGGACCCTTCATCGGATATTCGGTTACTTTCCATATCAAGACTTGTTAATGTTGAATTTATTCTCAATGCTTCTGCCATTGCTTTGGCACCTTCATCCGATATTCTGTTAGCTCGAACACTAAGACTTGTTAATGTTGAATTTCTTTTCAATGCTTCTGCCATTGCTTGGGCCCCTTCATCCGATATTTGGTTAGTTCTAATATCAAAATTTCTTAATTTTGAATTTATTCTCAATGCTTCAGCCATTGCTTTGGCCCCCTCATGCGATAATACGTTACTTCCAATATGAATACTTGTTAATGTTGAGTTAACTCTCAATCCTTCTGCTACTGCTATGGCCCCATCACCCGATATATTGTTCTCTTGAATATTAATACTTTCTAATGTGCTATTTATTTTCAATGCTTCCGCAATTGCTTTGGCTCCTTCATCCGATAGATTGTTATATCCAATATCAAGACTTGTTAATGTTGAGTTTATTTTCAATGCTTCTGCAACTGCTTTGGCTCGTTCATCCGATAGATGGTTATATTGAATAGCAAGACTTGTTAATGTTGAGTTTATTTTCAATGCTTCCGCAACTGCTTTGGCTCCTTCATCCGATAGATCGTTATATCCAATATCAAGGCTCGTTAATGTTGAGTTTATTTTCAATGATTCTGCAACTGCTTTCCCGCGTTCACCCGATACATTGTTACCTGGAAAACGAAGACTTGTTAATGTTGAATTTATTTTTAATGCTTCTGCCATTGCTTCGGCCATTGCTTTGGTCAAAGTAAGAGATGTGGCTCACGAGTGACCGAATGAGTGTAATTAGTGTAAATGATTTTACTGTGCTTGCTATCAATATTTATTTACCAAGAAAACTGAGTTTTTTCGATGAGAGGAGAGAGAAAAATAGACCAAACAAATGATTTAACGTGACATATAGTTGATTTCTACATTGGTAGTTTCGGCCGATTCTTCATCGGAATATTATCTGCTTATTCAACCATATAAATTTATCAACAATCTGTGAAATAAGCATCATCACCATATACAATTGAGTAAGCACATGATAATATTCATATGGAGTATCGTCATCGCAAAAACTAGTAATGTAGGCATATCGACTATATCTAATACAAAATATACATTTTTTGTCTCTTTTCTCCCTTCTCTCATCGTAAAATATACAAGTTTGTGGGTATGAAGTGCTGAAAGCAGTTGGATAAGGATTGAAAACACTTTTAGACGCTTTTTACACCCACTGTGTGATGACATTATAAGTCCTTGAGTTTATTGTATGCGTGCGCAAAGATACGTATTTTTTATCTAACACTCTTTTATTAACCCTTTGATTCCGGGCGTCTCGTATACGAGACGCACGTGCTTATCAGCTGAGAGACGCCATTCTTTCAAGAAACCCGGAACGAAAGGGTTAATCTAAACTTTTTATTTTTCAACAAATCGAGCTAGCGATCAAATTGTTGAAAGTTGAGTTTTTCTCCAGAAGATTGTTTCACCCTACGCTAACCGATAAAACTAAAGAAAATATCTTTTTACGAAATTGTCATACTTGGAATGAGAATTTACAAAATGAGCAGTAGTGACCATTTGCAAAAAGGAGCTTCCTATGATAATTTAAATTTAATTTAATTTAATAATAAAATTAAATTCTCTATCTGAAGTAACCTTCAAACGTTTAGTCAAATTCTGTCTAAAGGCCCAGAAATGCATTTTATCCGAAAAATTTCAACTTCAAAAACTCAAATCCTTCAAACTGATGCGAGTTTTACAGGTCGAGTTTCCAATTCAAAAACAATGGAAATCACGTGATTTTATTCAGGTTTTG